TCAGTTTGATAAGTTGAGTTTCAATCCAAAGGTCCAATGTAGGTCAATGAATCTATTCAAGGTATGATTCAGGGAGTGGAGAAAACTCTGCACTACATTACCGAAAACTCTATAAATTAAAGAACAGTAGCTCACATTTAGTGAGTGCTTACGGTGTACTAGACATCATCTTAAACCTGTACACATATTAACACATGTAGTCCTCAGGACAGCCCTGTGAGGTAGAGTTTATTATTACTCCCATAACAGGAAAACCGACGCACAGAAATGTTGAGTGATCTGCTCAATTTCACCGGCTTAGTACCTGTCAGTGTTGGGATTGGAACCAGGCAGTCTGGCCCCAGAGCTTTTGTTAATTTCCTACTCATGTACGTTTCTCCCCCCAACTCTCATATACACACTCTCAACCACCATATTCTAAAATGGATGTTCTTCAATAACATGTGTTATCAAAGGCCCACAGCGGTGATTGTGCTCGGAGTGTCAAGTAGAAATATCTAATACCCGGAAATCAAAGAAAAATCCACTGAGCCAAAATTCTAGCCTCTTAATTTAAGAAAATGACTTTCAAAATGAGATCAGCAATTTAAACCTGATGAATTCTCATGTTAAAATAATTCGTGCTTCTCAACCAATTACATAACAAAATTTATTCCTCAGGAAAAAACCCGTTCCCTTCCAGAGGAATTATGTTCTTCATTTCCACAGTGGTTGTGTGAGGATGCAAGAAGGGAGACTGGCAAAGGGGCAGAAGAGAAGTTTACGACAGTGAGCTCAAGACTAAATAACACTACAGCTGCCTGAAACCCAGCTTCCTCCACCCAGAAAACACTTCTCTGGATCTTTTTTTAAACCCCAAAATGCAACTTTTCCTCAAACAGTCATATGAGTTTGATTTATTGTCAAGTTGCCTCTTGAGGGAGTGCTGTAATTGAGTAAATGAAAGCCAAAATCAATTATTTTCTGAGAAACAATAAACTCACCTTGTGCAAGAATTATCAATACTGTGAAGTCTGACTTGGGGCTTGGGAACATTTCAACTTACTACAGTCTCGTTAGTGTGAGGCATAAGCGAGTCTTCTGATCAGGAATGAAGGTTAGAGCATCTGGAAAGGGATAGAAAGGCAATCATGGTGGCAGAGAGCAGGAAGTCCTACCATCCAGAAGAGGCATGGGGTATGGTTGAATAAGGCATAGTCATCATTGCTACTATGTATGAGGTTAAGAGATTCTCCCATTGGTAAGAGTTAAGAAAACATACCCTACTATTATGATTATGGATATCTGCCTACGTTTACATCAGGCCCCGCTCAAGTTGAAAAATGTCAAGTGAAAGATATCCAATAAAGCTTACATTTTCATTTTGCTTTCATCATCCAGTGTGATGGGACTGAGAAGCTATGCTGCTGCTTCTCTTACAAGCACAAATCCAACAGAGATGGAACACCTTATGTGTGTCCATTCTGAAAATACGTCAGATAAGGTACATATTATTCTATGAAGAATGCCCAATGTGAAAAGGCTAGAGGTCTGACAAATCTTAGATTTTCTCCAACATAAAAGCATCCTACAAGATCACTGATCATGTCGTTAAATGGGAGAGGCCACACACAGTTGGAGAGATCTTAAGTAAGCAATGTCCTGGAATCATCAGTGTGTTGCATGGCTTGGAGCAGAGGAAGAAAACTAAGATGGTGTCTGTCTTAACCGATGTAAATGAATCCATAAATGCATTTATTTTAATATTTTGAGGCAAATCATAAGGAATTTGTAGCTACGTTTTTCACTTCTGAATACAACTCTTTGACAACTCTTAGCCCAGTTTCTGATTTTCACAAGATTCTTGCATTTACTCCTCAACTCTGTACTGGCAATTATATTCCAAGTACTGTTTTAGGTGCAGGGGATACAGATTAATAAGTCAGGTCTCTGACTTATTCTAAGAGCCTTCACTCTAGAAATGGGGAGACGGTCAACCAGCAAACATATAATTAAGAAACTATCAAGTGTTAAAAGCCATGAAAAAAAACATGTGACAGAGAGTGAATGGGATGATAACCTTAGACTAGGCGGATAGGAAAGGCTTCTTTGAGGGGTTGACATTTAACCTAAGACCCAAATCATCAAAGAAGGACAGAGCCATGTGAAACTCAGGAAGAAGAGTGTTCCAAGCAAACTGACATCATCGTAGAAGAACTTAGAGTCTTGAACTTCTTTTAGAAATTGCAAAAGTCAATAATAGTTTTGAAAAATTTCTTTACCAAGCAAAACTTCAAATACATAGTACATCTTATTCCTGGGAGAATAGATGGAGAAAGTGTTACACTCGGCAGTACATCTTGTTGTGATGCTTTGAGGAAAAAAGTACATTATTATTTAATGTTTTCATCAGTAGCATATAAAAATGCCAAAGACTATGCCAGCAATCCTGAAAGAAATCTTGTCTCCTCCTGTGAAATGCTGTCAACTTCATCAGGACCAGAGCCTTGAACCGGGAACAAGGCTTGAACATACGTGAACTTGAACAAGAGGTCTTAGTAAGAAATAGGAGTAGAATAAGAATTTTCCTATACGACACAGAAAATTACTGGCATTCTTGAAGCCATGCATTGAAGCACCTGTTTGATATTTAAACCAATAATTCATGTAAAAAAATAAAAAGGTAAACTCCCACTTAGAGGGGAGAATAGGGGGAGTGAAGAGCACAGACACTGAAGTCAGAATGATCTGGATCCAAATCCAGACCCAACACTTTCTAGCTACATAAGCTTGAGAACGTTCTCTGAGACTCCAGTTTCCCATCTGTGACCTGGATGTAATAATAACTGGCTCAAGAGGTTGTCAGGATTAAGGTACGTGAAGTTTTCAGCATAGTATCTAAAATACAGTAAAAAAGTTTAATTGTAGGTTTTATGGTAATGAAACACATAAATAGGACACATATAACCACATTAATGTTCAGTCTATATCCCAACAACAGCAACTTCTCATTGAAATTTACTCAGAGTAGAATTTGGATTTTCTTTTCTATTTTTTCACAAAGAGGTCATTACTTTTTCATGAAAAATAAAAGCAAGAAAGATCATTTCTATACTCTGTCTACATTGACAAAATAAATTTTGAATACAATAAAATTAATTTACCCAGAATTGTGTGAGTGTATGTTTATGTATATTTTTTCTGAGTAAGACATTCACAGTTTTCATCAGCTTCTTAGAGATATCCAGGACACTCCCATTAAAAAATAAAGTTTAAAACAACTCATCTCTATACTCAAATAAAGGGACCAAAGAAAGACCATTCAATAATTACATGAGATGGGGTGAGATGGATGGGAAGAGGTACAGTAGAGTGGAGTGGAATGAACCAAACTTTCCCAACTAAAACACAATAGTAACAGCAAACAGCATCAATCTTTCCATCTTTTTCTTTAAATGATAGCAATAACCCACTTGTTTTCCATTGGGTTTACCCAGAAACTGAGGGATGCCCCTTCCATAAAGAGCCAATGGAAAGATTGTGCTAAGCGCAAGAGAAGCTCTTTTCTGAGGAGCTGGTGCGCTTCTGCTGTTAGACGTGGGATCTGTGTTACCGTTATACTCCCTTTTGGGTCTCAGTCCTCAGGAAGACCGGGGATCTGTGCTGCATTTATTTTAGAAACACCACCCCACAGCCTTTGACTTTTATGTGCTTTCTATGCTCGACTCAGTCTTCCTCCTCATACTTTTGTAATTCGGTCCTTGTTTTAATGTTTCCGTTGTATCTGTGTCCTTTATAAGTCACCACAAACTTCCCTTTAAAAGTAGATGTCATGGAAGGAAGAGAGGAAAGACTTCAAGTACACCTTTCAAATAAGACCTTATAAAGCCAGCAGCCTTAATAGGCTAAAATCCATAGTTCTTAATTTTTTAAATCTTAACTAAACTATTTTACAAACCTTAAACAAACACAAGTTTAAATTTTATTGGTTTTGCTCTGGTAAATTTTCTCATGCTAGTTCTCTGCATATTATTAATACAGTAATCTCTGAATATGTTCTTCGGGAGGAAAAAGCAGATGTGTCCTCAGCCCCCATTGCCTCAGCAGACAATGTATGTGACTCTTTCGTGGCTCTCTGCAGCCGTGCACTGTGCTCCTGCTGTCTCCCCACCCTGTGTGCTCCACAGTGAGCATCTCCGAGGACACACCGCCTCTCCTCCTGCCTCTCTTGACTGGCATTATTTACCTTCATTGGCTCAATTTCATTGGACTCCCCTCCATTTTATAGAAAAGGGCGTGCTCAGCACACCCGGCTCTGAATCCCTTTGTGCAGAGCCTCCACAGCCCCGGGAGCCGGCGTGAGGTTAGGGAGAGTTCCTGTCGGGAGTTTCCGGGGCTTTCCTTTCACATCATTGTTTGACACACCATTGCCGCACCTCACCACCCTTTCCCAGGGTCAGGTTTACACACAGTAGGTGGCTAACAAATACACATTGAATAAGCAGGAAAATTGCTTCCTAAATGATCTCAATTTTTGAGTAGTTTTCTACCTACCTGGAGAATGGGAACTTTGAGCGCAAATCGTAAGATCATTTTATTTATGTTCCTAATAAGAACATTCCTAAACTTCCTTCCCGAAATGAAATCACATTCTGTGCATGTTTGATTATGTGTGTGTGTTCCTAACTATTTACCTTTCTTGGTTTTAGCTAAACAACCCAAACGTGTTATTAATGATTTTCCTTATTACTCTGCTCTCCGTTCAGTCAGGAGTTAAAAGAGCATGAAGAACCAAGTCACCATGTCCTTCATCACCCTGCCCACACACACACACACCTTCCCGTGTATACAACCATGTGCTAGCCATCAGTCGGCCCTTGTCTTTTATATTTCATAAATGGCAGTGTGGTGGGCAAGCTCAGCCTACATCTGGTCGTCTCTGGTACTGCTGTGTCAGGCGGGAGGGACAGAGGCTCAGTGCCTCCTCTCGCTCTGCGTTAAACCTAGCAGGATGAAATTACCTCTGTGGATCCTGACTGCGATCCTCCAGATGCCCAGTCCCAAAACGATGGCGGTCAGCAGCCCACACACAATGGCCACCAGCACCTTGAGGTCACACACGCGGCAGAAAGCCATGGGGAAGCCAAACCACAGATCCACTCCTCGGTGAGAAACAACTAGCTTCTCTTCTTCAGCCAAGGAGTTTAATCAGAAACTGTTTTAAAAAATAAAAATAATTCCTCCTTTCAGTGATTATCAGGCAGTTGTCCTCATTTTTTAGGATATTTGAGGCTAATCAGGCAGGATGCAGGTCGAATTACCTAATAAAAGGTATGTACTCTGCTCGCAGTTGCCTCATCCTTCACTGAATGAGAATGTGAGAAAACTGATTGGAGTTATGGGAAAAGGAAGATAACACAAGGCAATAAAGAAGAAGGGGCAGGACTAGCCAACGGGGTCAAAGTGTAACTGTCGAGACCAGCAAGAAAGTGGGGAAGGGAAAAGAAAGGAAGGCACCAAAGAGGAAACCAGGAAGGCAGTGGACCTTGTGGTCACCTAGGGCTCAGCTTCCTATGCTTTGTTGGGGGCTTTCGCCAAGTTGGACCAGCAGGCGCTCAGGCCACAGACTCCCTCATGGGGAACCAGAGTGGGTCGTCAAGGAGAGGTTGGACAGTGATGCCCGCAGATGACTCCAGCACTGGCAGTTCTTTAAGGAGCCCACGTTTCGACAGCTGCAGTTGGCTAGTGGGCGCTACTGGCCCAGTTAAAGGTTGAAAGCACTGAAGGCCAGCACAGCAACCATCTGTCAGGGGCTGAATTGTGTCCTCTAAAAATTCATATGTTGAAGTCCTAACCTCTGGTACCTCGAATGTGACTTTATTTGGAGATGGGGTCATTACAGGGGTAATCAAGTTAAAATGAAGTCCTTAGAGTGAGTCTTCATCCAATATAAGGAGTGTTCTCCTCAGAACAGGAAATTTAGACGAGGACATGTGTAGAGGAAAGATGATGGGAAGAAACGCACGGCGAAGGCGGCAGTACAAGCCAAGGAGAAAGGCCTGGAACAGACCCCTCCCTCACAGCCCTCAGAAGGAACCAGTGCTGCCAACACCTTGATTCTGGTCTTCCAGCCCCCAGAGCTGTGAGACAATAAGTTTCTGTTGTGTCAGCCTCTCAGTTGTCATAGTTTGCTACAGCAGCTCTGGGAAACGAAGCCACAATCTGAGTCACTATGAGCTGGTGTCTCTGCAGCTGTAGCTCTGACTGTCTCCTGCCCAGGAACCCACATGCTTCTTCCCCATCCCTTCTCTGTCCTCAACTGAATGAATGAATGAACAGATGAATATTCACCTCCTCAATCAGAGTTCTGTTCCTGGTGGATTAGGAAAGGTTTTATAAAAGAGGACGCATGTAAGCTGACTTTTTCAACCCCTAAACAACTATAGATTTTCCCCTATTCTCTATAATACTCTTTTTATCAAAATAGATCTTTAGGGGACATGAACACTCTAACGTTTACCCAGCCCGGGGGATTTAGAAAAAATATTGATGTACCCCCAAAATGGAAGAATTTAGAGGTAATGCTGCACAAGCTCAAAATAAGTAAATGTGAATCCATTATCTCCTTTACTATGAATAGATTTAAAAATATCTGTTTCTGATATGTCTGCATGTATATGCACAGCAAATGTCTAAAAGGAGACATAAAAAAATTCCTCTTGGGAATCTGAGGAATCTAATGAGAAACTCATTTTTCCTTTTACCCCTCTTTTATGATTTCACATTTACCTTATGCATTTATTAATCTGAGCCAGGTGTTCCAGAAGAACCTCAAGGGGTGACTGCTTCATGGAGGGAAAACCATCATTTTATGAAAAGTAACTCACTTCACACTAATAGGAGTTTTTTTCTAGAAAACTAAAATACGTGTCCATGGAAGATGCTGGATTCTAATTAACGTAACCCTGAGTTAACCTCCCTGTGCTCCAGAAGATGAAAGAAAAGAAACCCTCAAATTCTTCTTTTTTAATCTTAAATTTACTTCTGCATCTTGCTCCAGAGAACTTCAGTTCCTCTCTTCATCTCTTCTGACTTTTTCCTTTTATTTTTCTTTTCCCATTTTCTCCTCTTTTATTTCTTCCTCTTACATCCCTCGAATCTGAGCTGACAATCATAGGTGTATGGCCAAGATTGAAAGAAGAGAGAAATGGTCAACCATGGTTAGGGTGAGAGGCATAGCATAGGAATTCATTTGATTTTCTTCTTTTCCTTTTAGAAAGCCTGATTCAGGTGAAAAGCAAACCCAGAAATTATAGTAACTAAACAAGAGCTTCAGCCTAGAAACACTAGTCCCATGTAAACACTAGTTCTTTTGAAAATAGTAGTATGAAATCATAAGCTTTTCTGAGGCAATATGAGTTGACATTTTCAATGTCCAACATAAAATAGCTCTATTATTTGTGTCTTAACAAGCTAATACTCTAGATCCTAAATCTCTCCTTTTAGTATGATTACTTTACGGAAATCGTTGGTGCAAATATAAGTTATCAATTGTTGCATAACAGACCACTCCAAACTTAGTAACTTAAAACACAACTGTCATGTATTTGCTCATGATCATGAACTTTGGGCAGGACGCAGCAGGGACGGCTTTGCTCCATATGTTTGTTTAACCAAGTCATCTGAAAGTTTGAATAGAGTTTCAAGGATCCAAGATGGCCTTTCTTATGCGTCTGAGGTCTCGGCTGAGATGACTGGAAAGGCCAAGTTGGCTGGCCCTCTTTCTACCTCATGGTCTTTTCTCCTCCAGGGCCTCCTCTTCCTCCTTGAAGCCTTCCCAACAGAATAGCCCTGCCTTCTTCACACAGAGGCTGGGTTCCAAGATAGCAACAGTGTGAGTTGCAAGACTTCTCAAGGCCTAGGATTACAACTTGCTCAGAGTCACTTTTGCCACATTCTATTGGTCAAAGAAAAATCACAAGGCCAATCCAGATTCCATGTTGGAGGTGGTTAGAAAAAAGGCATGAATTGAGGGAGGCAGAATTCACTGGGGCCCGTGATGTTTAATTTTTTGTGCCAACTAGGCTAGGCCATGGCACCCAGTTATTGGTCAAACATTATTCTAGATGTTTCTGTGAAGACTTTTTTGGGATGAGATTAATACTTAAATCTGTAGACTTTGAGTAAAGCAGATTACTCTTGTCCAAGCAGTTGAAGACCTTAATAGAAAAAGACTGACCTCCACTGAAAAAGAGGGAATTCTACCAGCAAGCTGCCTTTAGACTCGAGCTGCAGTATCAACTCTTCCCGGGCTGCCCTCCCAGGCAGCCTTCTTACGAGCCCACCCTGCAGATTTTGGACTTGCCGGTCTTCTACTATCACATGAGCCAACTCTTTGAAATCAATCTCTCTTCTCTCTCTTTCTCTATAGATATAATAGACATAGATACATATTTCCTGTTTCTGTTTGTGGAGAACCCTGACTAAATACAGAGGCCATTTTGCAACAAGCATTGTGCATTTTCCAGATAAAGCTTGTGATCTGAAACTTAATCAGAAAGCTTAATAATAGTGTCTGATACTCAAGGATTTTGTGACCTAGTTAGAGAGTAGGCATATAAAAAGTTAGAGCACACCAAAGAACAATGCAGAAGTCACTAGTTGATAAACGATTTACTCCACAAGTGTAAACTCTACCTGCCTGAGGAATGTTGGAAATGCAAAAAGACCGGTTGGGGAAACTTGCTGGCCGGGGTGAGGCCATAAAACAGCCATAAATGTATAACCAAGCCAAGTGCTCAGCAGGTTTCTCCAGGAGGAGAACACGTTGCATGTTTGGTAATAAAGCTTGGGAGAGAAAGTATCTTTGATGCTGGCATTTGCCATATTCCCTTCAGCACACCATTCTCCAGCTCAAACCACATGCCTTATTTCGAAGTCTAAAACATTAAGCTTAAGTTAACGTTAAGTAATGGAGTATTTGTTTCCTCGGACTGCTGTAACGAAGTACCATAAACCGAGTGACTCAAACAACAGAAATTTATTGTCTCACAGCCCTGGAGGCTGGATGTCTAAGATCAAGGTCTCAGGAGAGCCATGGGCTCGATGAAGATGCCAGGGAGGAATCCATCCAGCCTGTTGCTTGGCTGCTGGAGGTTTGCTGGTATCTTTGGTATTCTTTGACTCGTACACACATTACCCCGATCTGTGCCTTCATCTTCACATGGCATTCTCCCTGTGCGCGTGTCTGTGTCCAAATTTCCCCTTTTTATAAGGACACGGTCCTATTGGATTGTGGCCCACCCTACTCCAGTGTGACTTCATCTTAAGTTAACTGACAACATTTGCAAATGAAGTCATATTTTGAGGTATTGGAGGTTAGGACATCAATGTATGAATTTGGGGGGATGCAATTCAATTCATAACAATGGGTTACAGTACTAATAAGTTAAAACGTAAGATTTTTAAAAAATAACCCAAACTCTACGTCTAACAATGTTTGTGGTCTGACGGTATCAGGGGTAAGGATGTGAACCTGGTACTTTGGCTTGAATTGTGTTTCCATACTCTGCCACTAGAGGGCTGCATCATAGCTGTCGTCTTTTCATTCACCCATAATGTAGGCATATCAGCTATGAAATAAGTTTTAGACACATTTCTTGGGGGTTAGGGAGTGGGGAAGATGTCATATCCTGGGAAGAATGATATGTCCTGGCCATCCCCGTCCTGGTGAGCCCCCTCCTGGATCTTGCTATGGACTGAATGTTTGCGTCCCCTCAAAATTCATCTGTTGAAGACCTAATCTGCAGTGTGACCGTATTTTGAGGTGACACCTTTGAGAGGTAGTTGGGTCATGAGAGTGGAGCCCTCATGAGGAGATTAATGTCCTTATAAGAAGAACTGGAGAGAAATCGTCTGTTTGTCCACCATGTGAGGATGCAACAAGAAGGGAGGTGTCTGCAAACCAGGAAGCTGGCCTTCCCCTGACACTAAACTGCCGGGGCCTTGATCGGGGACTTCCCGGCCTCCAGGACTGTGAGAGGTCAATGTTTTCCATTTAAGCCACAACATGATATTCTGTTATAGCAGCCCAAACTGCCAAAGACAAGTTCTGACCCGAATCAAATCACCAGAGATATTCGAACAGAATCCAAACTCTCCCCCTCTGAACGGGACACTGGTGTCGTGAGCAGGGATGGGGGACAGATGGTCTTTAGAATCAGGCAGGTCCAGCTATGAAGGAACTGAGCATTCTCTGTGCAGTAGTGTGACCTCTGAAGCGGAGAGAGCCCGCACTTCTGGCATCAGGGGACTTATGCCCCTTGCAGGCTGGGCCTCTGACTGCAAGG